TATCTGGAAATGATCTAATTTCACTAGCAAATGTGAACGAGAGTTTTGCAGGATATGTTATTCTTGGGTGGCAATTTTTTTCTTTCATGATTTTATATATGTCATCCCATTGTCTTCTTGCCTGCATGGTTACTGCCAAATAATCTGAGCTTAGTCTTATTGTTTCTCCTCTGTATGTGACTCGTTTTTCACAAGCTGCTCTCAGGATTCTGTTTGTCTTTGGTTTTGGCGAGTGTGATTATGATATGCGTTGGTGATTTTCTTTTGGGGTCTATCCTATATGGGGTTCATTGAGCTTCTTGGATGGCCAGCTTTTCATCTTTCATGATATTGGGGAAGTTTTCCGTTCTTCAATGACCCTCTCTGTGTTTTCTGTTTTCTCCCCGTTCTGGAATTCCAATTACTCGTAGATTTTTGCTTTTGATTGTATCCCGCATAACTCTCAGGGTCTCTTCATTTTTCTTTGTTCTTTTTTCTGGGTTTTCCTGAAACAGAGTTGTATCCAAGTGTTTGTCTTCAATTCCACTGATCCTGTCTTCCACCGTTTCAAATGCGCTTCTCAGCCTTTCTATGACGCTGTCCATTTCTGAAATCTTTTTATCTTTTCGATTTCTAATTGTTGTCTTTGTATAATTTCTAGTTGTGAATTTATTTTGGCATGTTTTTCCTGCATTATTTTCCTGAATTCTTCCAATTTTTTGTATTTTTCATGAATTTATCTATTTTTTCCTCATGTTTGTCAGCTTTTTGCCTCAGCTCTTGGAGAATTCTGAGTATTAGAGATTCGAATTCCCTAACAGGTAGTTCTAGTGCATTTTCTTCCACTGGAGAGTCATCTGGTGTTTTACTTTGGGTGCCTACTGGAACCATCCTGTCCTGTTTTTCTAAATGTTTTGATATTGTCTGCTGTCTTTGGGGCATTCAGTAGTTATTTTTCTTGTTTATTGATTGTAGATTTGTTTGTTCTGTCCCCCCTTTTTTTTTAAATTTGACTATGTCTGAGCAGGTGGACTGTGTGTTCTTTGTTGTTTGCTCATCTGTGGGCACAATACTTTTCACCTCCTTCTCCAATTGGCAAGGTCAGTCACTCAGATATGGTACAGCAGGGCAGGTCTAGCTGAAGAGGAGTAACTGGGATGGGTTGTTTGTGGCACTTACTACAGCCACCAGAGTGGGTTGGTAATCAGTGCAGTGCAGGTTCCAGTAGGGCATGCCTGTGCTGCTTGGTGGTATAATGTCAAGCGCACGGTGCAGGTAGGCAGGATGCAGTGGGGAGATTGTTATGTGTGGAGCTAAAATGGATATGGGAGAGATGAGAGAGGAACAGGAGCGAAAAACATACAAACAAACAAAAAAAGAATGCTAGGGGAGCTTGCCGTTGGAGTGGAGAGATGAGAGGCTATGAAATAGAGAAAAACAGAAACAGGAAGAGGAAGAAAAGAAAAGAATGAATAAATAAAAATCAGAAAGGTTAAAGAACTGCAAAGTTCCCAGGGATCCCACCACTGCAGCTATGAGGTCTGGGGAAGTCGCTCTCAGGTGTTGCAGTACAGCCTGGCTAGAAGGCGTAGAGATATACAACGCCAGGTATTCAGGGAACAGAAGGAGAAAGAAGATATAGAGAGACAAGAAACAGCAATGAAGAAAGACAAAAAGGGAAAAAGAGGGAAAAGAAATCAAAACAAATTAAAAAAAAAAAAAAGAACAAGAAAGGCCCCCCAAAAAACAGAGAAAAAAAAAAAAGCAACGAAAAAAGAAATGCTCTCAGGGATCCCTCTGCACGTCTGTGCAAGCCGAGGGGGAAGCCTCCTTTCCATGCAGCACCACCTGGTCAGAAAGGGCTCCCAACTCAAGAAAAGGAAAAGAAAACAAACAAAGAATTCAAAACAAACAAATGAACAAAAGCCCCGGGATCCCACCGGCGCGGCAGCCCAGACCGGGGAGCAGCTCCACACTCGAACGGATCTCCACAGCCCCTCAGGAAGAAGCAAATATGGCGCACGGAGCCAGGTATTTGAGCGAAAGGAGGAGGAGGTGGTGAGAGGTAAGAAAGAAATCAAAAGCAGCAGAAAAAAAAAGCAACAATAGCTAGCAGCCAACAAATGGCACTCAGAGAACCAGCTAGTGTGGGCTGGTGTTTCTCGGACAAGAGACTGTGTCTGCAGGAAGCAGAGGGGGCCGAGTGTGAGTGAAGAAGGGTAGGGAGTGGGAAAGCATATATCACAAATTACTGGAGCTCTGCAGCCCCTCAGAAAGAAGCAAAGATGGTGCAGGGAGCCAGGTATTTGAGCGAAAGGAGGGAGGTGATGAGAGGTAAGGAAGAAATCAAAAGCAGCAGAAAAAAAAAGCAACACTAGCAGCCAACAAATGGCACTCAGAGAGCCAGCTAGTGTGGCCTGATGTTTCTCGGACAAGAGACTGTGTCCGCAGGAAGCAGAGGGGGCCGAGTATGAGTGAAGAAGGGTAGGGAGTGGGAAAGCGTATATCACAAATTACCGGAGCTCTGCAGCCCCTCAGGAAGAAGCAAAGATGGTGCACGGAGCCAGGTATTTGAGCGAAAGGAGGGGGAGGTGGTGAGAGGTAAGGAAGAAATCAAAAGCAGCAGAAAAAAGCAACACCAGCAGCCAACAAATGGCACACAGAAAGCCAGCCCATTCGGGCGTGTGGAATCCAAGCAGCCGGTATTTCCCGGTCAAGAGATTGTGGCTGCGGGAAGCAGAGGAGGCCGAGTGGGGGTGAAGAAGGGTTGGGGGGGGTGGGAAAGTGTATATCGCAAATTACCGGTTGTTTTGTCTCCTGCTGGATGCTCCGTGAGGCTGCTTTCTCATACCCCGTTTGCTGGTCTCCGATAGGAGTCCAAGATGGCGGATCCACACTGCGTTAGCTGGTAGGGGACCTCTGCATGAATCTCTCCTCGCTCTCCATTCTCTGTCAGTTTTCTCACTCCATTTGGTGCTTGGCTGAGTTCTTTATGTCTTCATTTGATGTTTTATAGTTTCAGGATTGTTGTATTCTCTGTTCAGCTTAGTTTTTCGGATCTTTGCTGTGGAGGGACGGCGTGATGCTTCTGCCTAGAGCGCCATTTTGCCAGAACTCTGCGATATCTTTTTAATGATAATGTTATTGAACACAAATAATTTATTTTGTCCTTGAAATAAGTTCTCTTCCACTAGTTCGCTAAATTGAAAAAAAAAATTAGTTCACTACCTGACCTTAAACGCATTTACATCTGAACTCTCCAAACCCAGAGTCTGTGTCTATGAAAATTAAAAATTACTATTAAATACTGTTCCTTTTCACTAAACTTCCTCTCATGGAAACTCCAATGCTACAGTGCATTTGTTTTTGTTTCTTTTTAAAAAAAGAGGCAGTATGTTCAAAGCACAATTTAGCCTCTGTTTTATGGGAGAAAACTATAACTCAAGAGAATCTGAGGAATAATCAGCTTCAAGTGGTAAAGGATATGGGGCAAGAGGCAACTCTAGGAAATAAGGAATGCTGCGTGTTATCCGCTATAAGCTACGGGCTGGTTTGAGCAGGTGACACGAAATGACATCTGGACCAACTTGAAAGTAATGAAAAGGAGGCCCACCTTTGACCAACCAGCAAACAGCAGGGCACTGACCTGCCTGGGGGTGGTGTCCACAGTCCCTAAAAGAAGAGAAACAGACCCTTGGCATGCACCGTCTGTTGACTCAGCTAAAGACTTCTGCTCTGAGACTCGAATTTTTTATTCAATGAGAGGAAATACTCTACATTTGTATCTTAAAACAGTTACCAGTTGCCATCAAGTTGAAACCTACTCATGGTGACCCCGTGTGTGTCAGAGTAGAACTGTGCTCCATAGAGTTTTCAATAGCAGATTTTTCAGAAGTAGATTACCAGGCCTTTCTTCCGAGGCTCCTCTGGGTGGACTGGAACCTCAACCTTTCAATTAGCACCGAGCCCGTTAACCTGTCTGCACCACTCGGAGCACTTAAAGCAGTAGTGGGCCTTAAATCATTTATTTTGCTCTCATATAATAGCTACTTGAGGCTTAAAACTTGGGGTGTCTTGGAGTCCATGCTATTTCATTTAACTTATTTTAAAAAGTAAACGCTAGCGTAGCACTGTTCAATAGAACTTTCTGCAAGGATGGAAATGCTCTGTACCTGCGCTGTCCAATACAGTAGCTTCTAGCCACATGTGGCCATCAAACACTTGAAATGTGGCTAGTGCAACTGAGAAGCTGAATTTTTAATTCTGATTTTAATTAATTTAAATTTCAGTAACCACATGTGGCTAGTAGCTTCCATATTATACTGTTTTAGAGTGTCATAACTATTACACGTTTAGATAAAGTGCTACAGCATTCAAAATCCTTTAAAGAGAATAATTGCATTATAGAATTAAAGAGCTCTGATGCATCAATATTTATTTCACATGCTGTTTATACACAGATGAAATTGCCTCCAAGTGTATTTCTCTAGTAGAAATAGAAGTTATTATTTCTACCATCACTACTTATATACTATTTGAATTTACAGTAGAGGAAAAGGAGTAAAAAGTTTAAAAAAACACAAGACGAATGTTAACGGTAGTTGTAGGCATTCAGAGGTTTCTCCAGTGGGCTATTTTAAATAAGTTTTTGTGATGTTGTTGCTGTACTGATAATGGGGTAAAGAATGTGGAATACAGAATGCAACTGGCAAATGCACCCGCCAGCCACTTCACAAGGTAAAGCTTTAGGTGCCACAAAGCAGGCGGGATGAGGCAGAACCAGCACGTCTTCACTGCTTATTGCTGTAGTCAAGTCCTCCAGCACGGAGCCTGGCACTATTGGCGAATATTTTGTGCCAGAAGTATTTATCAACAAGTGAATGATACTTTGATGCCTCTTTTAAGGTATGGTATAAACTGATGAGAGTAAATAATTCAAAAACATTTTCTTGTTTGTTTAAACCTTTGCATATATGCAAGTAACATGGAAAAACACACTCCCGGAAATTCCAGACACCTACCAGGGCTGTCGGTTCTGGCATGCAAGGGTCCCATCAGCATCCCCAGCAGTAAGGCCTGTACATGGTGCAGCTTTGCCTTGGCCTCTGTCTGCTGCAACCAGTAGCAACTGACAGCAATGGGCAACCTCAACGAAGGAGGGATTGGGTCCAGAATGGTCCGTTTCACCTTCAGGGTTTCTAATAGAAGCATCTCCCGTTTATCCAAGGAAAGCTGAAAATATACACCCAACATCCTGCAGGTTACTTTGGGGAACGGCATTTTTCCCCCTAGCATGAAGCGAAAGCAAACGAGACTGCTGTGTCAGCTGTTACACTCATCTTCCTGGAAAAAAATCAGCCGCCCTCCAAGCATTTAGAACATTAATTAAGTATTTAATATTATTGACTGAATGGCTGCACTGTCTCCTCGAGCTACATGGCCTCTGCTTGTGTCATTCCATCCTCTCTGTGTAGGCTGGCGAGCAGCAAACCACAGTGCACACATCAAACAAGCGGGGAAGCTTGTTAAAAGTTCAAATCCTCAGCACCCCCACCCCAATTTTGGTTCTAAATCTAGGGGAACCCAAGAATCTGCATTTTAACTAGCAACTCAAGTGCAACGCTCTGAGAAGCAAAGATCTGTACTCCTGGAGGCTCTGCCCCTATTTGCCAGCAAGTGTTCAGGCCCTAGCTTCTCATGAAGGCATCCCTGCTCACCTCCAAAAGAGAAACTCTTAGTTTATGCAAACCCTTTGTAGCACATCACAGCATGGTATTGGTTGGAGTCCTGCTTCATGTCCCTTCCCAGCCTGAATGTTTGTCTTTGTGTTTCCCTGCACTAGGATGGTCACAGAGAGACCACTTGTAGGTTAGGGTTATATTCAAGGACCCCAACAAATATTAGGTTGTATGATGTGCCTCAAAGGGCTGACATTCTTAAGGACAACCTGCATTGTGCTTGCAATACCTGCCACACTGATCTTTACACCATGCTTTGTACTGCACTTGAAATGAAAGTTAGGAAATAAATAGCTATGATAGATTTCGGCTTCTTGCTGAGATACTTTTAATCTTCAGTATTTCAGAACCATAAAGGATCTTATAGGTCACACAGTCTTATAGATAAAGAAACTAGGCTATTAAAAAGGCACCTTCAGGAGGTCTTCACAATCAAACTTTGAGAGAGAAAAAAAAAAAGTTGTATTCCCAGTGGCTGCAAACTGCCAGAAAAGAATTTCTTTCTTCTTAACTTTCTGGGAGGATGTGACAGTCTGGCACATTTCTCAACACCTAGCACCTAGTTAGTAGTCAAGTGTGGTTGACAGCTTAGAATAGAGATGTTAACCTGAATAAAACATGTGTTGTAAAAATTGACAAAACTGTTTCATCAATGCATGAGAGCATGAAATAATATTAATTTTTAAATACTTGTTTTGATAATATTGTGATAGTGGTGAAATTTTTTTAAATTAGAAATATACAAAGTGCTTTATAGAATAATCAATCACTCCTACTAGAAACAGCATTAACTACTTAAATTTAAAGTAAAATAAAAACTACTTTTTATAATTTCCTAAACTGGTAGAAAAATACACCAAGTAAAGGTAAGAAAATATATTAATCCTTTTCTGACATATAATGCTTAAATTATTGAATTCTAGAGCTAAATTACAACTGTAATGACTAAGCTTTGTTTATCCCTCACTAACTCTACAGGCTTGCACAAGTTTACAAGCTTCTCTTCAGTCTGTTTGATCTTCTGTAAAACAGGCATTATGATCATTTACAAAAGATGCTTCATGGAGCCCACCAATCCTCAGCTCCTTCCAGAAGGGGAACTTCTCTGCTCACAGGCCTTGGTAAGCTGTTTACGTTAATCCCATGTGACAACTCCTTTCCCTTCCCCTAGGGGGCGCAAAAGCACATCCCTGCAGAGGAAGTTGCCACAGCGACCGGCACAGGCACCCTGAGAGGCTGCTCTTGGCACTGCCTCACTTCCAAGAATGATCCCCTTCCATATCTCCTTAAAATTAACCACCCTTTCTTTGGTTAACTCAAGTGGTGCGCTGTCCATTGCAGCCAACAGCACCCAAATGAAACCTTACCTGATGTGGTTACTGTGGGAATCAAGTGAGCGAGCGTATAAAGTTCCTACCAGCTGGCACAAAGCAGATAATTATTTATTATTGCTACATCATGTTAGGGAAAAAACACCGAAATGACTAAATACTGTCACAAGGTTTCCATTCTTGTACCGGCATCTATATTTGGAATCATATTTATGCCTGGTACCATTTAGAATTGTCATGGGCTAATTAGAACCAACAGTATTGGGCTAAATACAGAATTGATGAGTTCATGTCAAGGGAAAGCCAAATGACATCACAGCAGCGAGTGAACTAAAATTTTACACTGCTCTGAATACAGGTAAGTAGTGACAGACTCAAGTCATCTCTATCTAGCAAGGGGTACAATTGGCTTTGGTTGAATTGATTCAACGGGATTTCCATAAAGGGGAAAAAGTGTCCTGACTCCTATTTTACACCATCCACAAAAAAAAAAAAAAAAAAATCAAACCTAGATAGATTGTAAATTTAAATGTGAAAGACAAAACAACAAAGCTTTTAGAATAAAACATAGACATTTTTGTGACCTTGGAATAGGCATTTTTTTTAAGTAGATCACAAAAGTGATAACCATAAATAATAAAAATTTTAACTGGATTATATTAAGAACTTCTGTTCATCAAAACATACTGAAGAGTGAAAAGACAACCCACAGAATGGGAGAGGGTATTCACAATACATGTATTCCACAAAGGACTTGCATATGGAAATCAACAAAAAGATAACACTATAGAAAAATGGGCAAAGACTAAACAGAAATTTCACATAAGAGAATCTCCAAATGGCCAATGAACATATGAAAAGGTGTTCAAATTAATCATCTTAGAAATGCAAATTAAAATCATTACATACCCACCAAAATGGATAAAATGATACCACTACACAACCAACGGAATAGCTAAATTTTAAAAAATCAAGAATAGAAAATTCCAAGTATTGGCAGGGGTGTAAAGGGAACTCTCATATGCTGCTGGTGGAAATATTAATTAGTACAACCATTTTGCAAGACTATTTGGCAATATATCTTCTAAGCCGAACATAACTGCATCCTAAACCAAACCCACTGCTGTCTAATCGGTTCTGACTCATACCGACCCTACAGGACAGAGGTTTCCAAGGCTGTGATCTTTACTGAAGCTGCCTATCTTTCTTCTGTGGAGTGGCTGGTAGGTTCCAAGCGCCACCCTTTTGGTTAGCAGCTAAGCGTTTTAACCACTGCACCACCAGGGCTCCTTACTTGCATCCTATGACAAGTAATTCCACTCCCAGGTATATACACAATAGAAAGGTGTCCGATGTTCACCACGTGATGTGTACTAGCATGTTCACAGCACTACTACTCACAAGAGCCAAAGCTGGAAACTACCCAAAACGCCCATCAGCTGTAGAACAGGAAAATCAATTGTGGTATATTCTCATAATGTAGTAAAATACAGCAATGAGAATGAATGATCTCCAAGTACTCACAATGACAATGGACGAATCTCACAAGCATTGTGTTGAATAAAAGAAGCCAGACACAAAGGAGTTCATACTGTCTGACTGCATTTTCATAAAGTATAAAAACAAAACTATTCTGTTGTTAGAGGCCAGGAGAGTGACAAGAATGGAAGGGAGGGGTGACAGGAACAAGCCACCGGGGAAATCTCCTGGGTGCTGGTCGTGACTCCTCATCTTGTGCAGTTAACCCGGCTGTGTTCAGTTTGTGAAAATTCATCAAGCTGTACAATTTCTGTGTACTTTTCTATATGTATATAGTGAGGGAGGGATAAATTACAAACGGGCACGAGGAAACTTCTGGGGGTGATGGATATGTTCATTATTTTAGTTGTGGGATGGCTTCATGGATGTAGAGATAGATCACAACTCATGAAAGTGGACACTAGGGCGCAGCTGATTGCTCATCAATTACTCCTCAATAAAGCTATAAAAAGTAAAACAATAACGAAACCAACCCTGTGATATAGTACCATTCATGAGTAGAAATTTAATTTCAGCAAAACATCCTTGAGAATGTTGCTAATTAAATTTTATTGGTGTGGGTAAAGGGTTAACAAAGCGCTCCTGTTTGAGAATCTGACCTGTGCTGACCTTTCTGGCCCTGTCACTCTGAAAACCTGATAAAGATTGTCAGTTGTGTTACTAAGCACGACACTAATGACTCTATTGTGAAACTGCACCTAGACTTGAACTATAAACATCTGATGGGGACACCCTATCTTAGGGCTTTCCTAAACACAGTGACTCTTATAATTAGCCATGTCCCTTGCAGGGACCTCGAAAGCTATGTCTATGGAATGGTTACATGAAAGACTGGGCCCTGTGGGGAATGAGACTTCTAAGTCAGTGGGGCTTTTTCCCCTCCTCTGAGATATAATTCACTTACCATAAAACTCACCTGCTCAGTGTATACTTCAGTGGTTGGTAGTATACTCATAATGCTGTGCAACCATCACCACTAGCTAATTCCAGAACATTTTCATCACTCCAAAAGGAACCCTGTCCCTCTTTAGCATCACTCTCCACAGCCAGGGAAGCTCCTGCAGCCACCTGATGCCAGTCTCACTCCCCATGCCTGAACTGTCACTAATGAAGATGTTAACGACGCTAGTTCCTGGTCAGCTCTGTAGGAGAGGGTTTGTCAACCTTGCCACTACTGACAATTTGGGCCGGATAATTCTTTGCTGTTAGGCACTGTCCTATACGTTGAAGGATGTTTAACTGCATCCTTCACATCCACCCACTAGATGCCAGTAGCAATTTCCCTCTGGGAAACTGTGGCTGTTCTCCTAGATCCTTTTCAGTAGACTGGTGCCAAGGGTGGCCTATGAGAGTCAAGTGAGTCTGACTGTTTAGATGGATCTAAGAAAACTCCCGATGGGCACTGCAATGGGTTTTGTAAGTTTATCTGCATTTACTTTGAGAACTTAATTGTGTTATAGGCATAAACCGTTTCATCTATTTATATTTTTTCATATATTTATGTAATATTATAAAAAAATTAAGTCAGCACTGGAGTGATCCAGGAGAATTTTATTTCCCTGAAAAGGCAATTGGTCTGAGCATTACTCAGGTTTAAGAAACACTGAGTTAGGCTAAGAGTCATGTTTTCGGTATCAAACTAAGCAAATCACCATGACGCCACAAAGCTAAAGTCTGAAGAAAAGGTCCTCATAAATAAAAATAAAAAATCAGACCCAAGCATCAGTACTAGTATTGTTAATTGAAATCTGATGCAGTCTGAAATGCTAGTTTCATCAGTGCTGATAAGAATACTTCTTTTTCAGCTTAGAATTTTTTTTTTAAGCCACATAACCCATTCTATTAACAGCTAGTATCAACATAGTAATAATTCCAAAGATAGCAACACAGGCCACTGAATTACAGTGGAAATGGTCGATTTGGAGCTAAAACATCTAGGTTTGAGTCCTAACACTGACACCCTGGCTGTGATTTTAAGCAAGGCAGTTTACTTGACTCCCAGTCTTCTCAGCTATGAAACGGGGGCAATATAGCAACCTACCTCAGTTTGTTATATTAAGCAAGGTAATATATGTGAAAGGAGCCCTGGTGGCACAGTAGTTAAAGCACTTGGCTGCTAACTGAAAGGTTGGCGGTTCGAACCTATCAGTTGCTCCTCCAGAGAAAAGACCTGGCGATCGGCTTCCTTAAAGATTTGCAGCCTTGGAAACTCTATAGGGCACTTCTGCTCTGTTCTATAGGGTCGCTATGAGTTGGAATTGGGCTTGGTTTAATCTACATTATACCTGTAAAGTGCTTTACAAAGATTTCATTAGTATCATAATTACCTCAGTCAATTTGCTTAAATCAGAATGATCCTTAGGTAGTTTTACTGCATGAACAATTGATGTTTTGATATTTTTATTAATCCTTTCCACTTCACTGACAGCTGGCGGCTGAGCAGGCGATGCATTCCAGGACATGCTTTCCAGATGTGGAGAAGCATTCAAAAGAAGCCCGTAGATAGTTTGCCGGATGGACTGGGATATTCTGTGGGCATTTGGTTGCTGCATGTTTTCCACTTGTGTTTGAAGAATGGTCCGTCTTAGCACCAGGGCATCACTGATGAAAGGAGACAGCTGGCCTTTGGTCAAAGCCACTAGTACCCATTCTGGTAAGCCCAGGTTCAAGGAGGCTGGACAGACATAAGCACCATACTGGAAGAAGTCCTGCAGGTTCACCAGGGACTGCTGGTATTCTTCCATGGAACTACAGAGAAGCTCCTTAACATTTTCTCGATCCTTTTTTGGGAGATACTTCAGAACATTATCTAGTGCTTCAGTAGGGCCAGCAAAACGAGACAACCAATTCAGAAGTCCTAGAACTCGGTGGTGTCTCCTCCCCTTAGGACTGGTAGCTCCAAGAGGAAGACGTATTTTATTTAAGAATTTCTCCACGATGGGCAGACTGACGTGGTCATTTCCACACAGCACCGCAAAGAGAGGTAGTAGAGCTTTATTCATATTGCTGAAGTGATGGCAGAACGCATCAATGGAAAAGCACATGGCAGGAATATAGTAGTTTCGTGTGCCTTTAATAGTGTTCACGTTTTTCCACTGAAAGCCACTCAAGGGGCAAAACCCAGCTTTCAGGTCAAAAATGCAAAAGTCGCTATCTGACGATAACACAGGGCAATTCCAGTGATTAGCAAGTGTCATGACATCCCGATCTGCTTCTGAGAAGCACTGGACAAAACATACCCGCAGCTTGATCAAAACCTGTATGAACACCTCCCGGATGAGCAAGGGACACACGTACCCACCCCCACCAGCAGAAAGAGAATGGGCCATCTGGATTTTGTCTCTAGCCCGATCCTTTAAAGTTGTAAGCTTTTTATCTGAAATGTCACATCCTCCATCTAATACAACATATGGACATATATTACAAGCAAACAGTGATTCAAAAAATTCTTGTACAACATCTGTAAAAGAATCATAGTCCCCTCCATATCGGAGCTCCAAGTTTGAATCGAAGCAAAGCCGATGGAAAAGAGCGTAGCCATCAATGATAATTTTTGTGTCCCGCAACTTCAAATCAGTGAAGAACTCGTTACGATGATCTTCCACAAAACTCATTAGTCCCCGGATACCCATGATGACAGTCCGGAAAATTGCCTGTTTAAAACAATAGAAAATATTTTCAATTGATGCTGGTTATGGCTGCTTCCAGCACCATCAAACCAACAGCAAATGCTATGAAGTGCTGTTTAGAGAGAACACATTAGGTATCAGCATTCCAGAATCCTTACCTAGATGCTCAGGCAACACCAGCTAGGTGAGCGCTTTTTCATTCTTTTGTTTTCCATGTGTGTTACAAGGCACAAACCTGATGATTTCATGGATTTTGATCCTTGGGATGGAGGCTACTGATGATTCTAAAAGAAAATGAGCTGAGTCCATTAAAGACATACCAGTATAGTGCTTCTGTGGACTTGGCTTTGATACTGAGATAAACAGTAGTCATATCTTATAACACAGAATATTTGTTTTGTGGGGTCAAGATAAAAAGCCCTAAGCTCTAAAAACGATATCCTTTTAAATTTCATAATTAATAAATCAGAATGCATTAGGCTTCAGTTAACTACTTAACAGGAACAGTAAAACTACTGCTCCATGCCTCTAAGAACTCAACTCTCCAGCTTCACCCAACCAGAGGCTCTTTTCATCTTCCTGTCTTTGCTTCTCTGGCCTACTCACCTGCAATATCCTCACCCCTTCCCCATCTGGCAAATTTTATTCACAGAATCCAGCCAATTAACCAGCTGTTGTGGTGTCGCTTCTGATTAATGGCAATCCCATGTGTGTCAGAGTAGAACTGTGCTCCGCAGCCTGATTTTTCAGAAGTAGACCACCAGGCCTTTCTTCTGACTAGAACCTCCAAGCTTGCCATTCTTTTGGTTAGCAGCCAAGAGTGATGACCCGTTTGCACCACGCAGGGAGTCACTCACAGGATCAGTATTACTGATTATTCCTTTTGCCTCAGGTTCTGATATGGCTCAGCACAGCACTGTTACTGAACCTGTCTTTAGTAAAAACTCTGACATTTGTCAATTATGAATTTTTGGCAACCCCTTACATTCAGCAGAAACCCTGGCAGTATAGTGGTTAAGTGCTACAACTGCTAACCAAAACGTCGGCAGTTCGAATCCACCAGGCACTCCTTGGAAACTCTACGGGGCAGTTCTACTCTGTCCTGTACGGTCGCTATGAGTTGGAATCGACGCGACGGCAACAGGTCTGGCACGGGTTTTACATTCTGCGCCTAACTCACCTTACCCTAGTCCCAGTCCTTTATCTCAGCGCCTTATCCTGTGTAGTACTTATTTCTTTAAAAGTCTGTCTTGCAAGCCCACTGTGTCCATTCAGCCCAAACCAATTAGAGCACCTTGCAGAATTGTTCAACAAATGGGGAAAGACGCGTATAAGATCCAAGCCTTCAAAAACAGGCGTTCATACACCGTACCACCCCAACCGTCACAACCCGCCACCGATCCAGCAGCCGATCCCACCTACTGCGTCCTCCCAGAGGACAGCCCCTCCATCAGACGCCGGAAAGAGCCCAGCGAGGACTGGAAGCCCCACCATGTCAGAGTCCAAACCCAAGAGCGGGCACCGGAAGTCTGCGTATGACGTCACTGGGAGGCCCGGTTCCGTGGGAGCAGTGAAGCCCGTGGCGCCGGGTTGCGCCAGCAGCGATGGTGCTTTCGGGAGCAAATGCACGAGGTTACTAAGGAAAGCTGGGAAGTACGCCCTAAAATGGCTGCTGTCTGGTTAGGCAGCTTGCCTGCTCTTTTCTTCCCGCCCACTTGGCTCTGCGGACACTTCCGGCTCGGTGACCGGCTCTGGGACTCCTTGCCCCGACTTCCCAGCATGCCCCGTGCCGTCTCCCTGACGACGCTGCTAAACAGCCGTGGCAGGTGGTGGTCCCTCAGCTCGCCGGGTGCCGCTGCCCCACCGTTGAGGCGGAGTACTCTGGGCATGCTCCCGGGGCCGCCGCTCCTCTGCCCAGAACCGGGAAAGGTAATGCGAACGGCGCTTCTCTGGGCATTCCAAGCTGTTCGGCGCCAGGAAACGCGATGGTTTCAAGTTGCCCGGGCCAAGTGACCTCCCTTTCCATCTCTAGGCTTCTATCTGCGACTTCCTCACGTCCCTTGACTCCTTGCCTCCCAGATCTGCTCCAGTTTCCGGGGGGGTGGGGGTGGAGAAAGTGTTGCTGGTGCCCCTCGATGTGCGTTAATCCGCTTTACGAAAACGTGACTTTAAAAAGTTGAGGAAACAAGAACTTGTTCGTTTTACTTTAATGTGAAAGTTTACCTTTAAGGTTAGATTTCTACTTTAGTAGAACCTGGACTCAAATCTGCTTCCTCTCGTTTATTAATATTGGGAAAAGAACAATTTGGCTTCAGACCCTGGTGAGCGCTCCTTTTTCCAATGTCTTTTGCCCCCAGACAGATCAGCTTCACCTACAAGGGTCACTTTGCCTAAGGCAGTAATCTCTGCTTTCTCGCAGAGCCCATCCAGCTTTCTTAACCTTTTCCTTGAAAACCCTACAGAGCGCAGTTCTTCTCTGATCTACATGGGATCGCTGTGAATCGGAATGGACTCCATCACAACTGGTCTGGTTTTCACTGTGGCCCAGACCAGACATGTTAAGACCTGCTGGGTCAACCTCCCATTTACAAATGGGAACCGCTGGGAAATTGGAACTTCTCAGGAGAACTGTCTACAGCACCTGCTATTCCCAGGCGGTCTCCCATCTAAGTACTAACCAGGCCTGACCGTGCTTAGCTGACGAGATCAGGTGCATTCAGGGTGGTATGGCCGTAGACTGGGAGCCCTGGTGGCACAGTGCTTAAGAGCTTGGCTGCTCACCAAAAGGTCAGCAGTTTGAATCCACCATCTGATCCTTGAAAACCCTCTGGGGCAGTTCTACTCTGTCCTGTAGGGTTGCTATGAGTAGGAATAGACTTGATAGCAACAGGTTTGGTTTTTTTGGTTGGGAGAACTGACTTGGCTGCTCTAATTCTGTCTTTCACTAAATGGGGACCTTACACTGATCTCTGACATGGGAATTACTGAGTGATCTGAACGTCCTGGTTGATAGAAAAGGCTGTGAGTCCATACATTTTTCTGAACAGCTTAATTTGGCCAGAATGCATCACTTTTACGCCACTGAAGGTAGCGGACAAAAGGCATGTTTGGAGACCTAGTCGGTTATTTTGTCAGCAAAAAATTTCACTGACATTTTATTTTTTGCGATCTTGATAACCCCACATAATTTTTTATTTCTTCTGATTTTTTAAGGTATGGGCCCCAACTCTGGGCCCCAATGATGTTGTAGTATTGTTAGGAATGCACAGTCACTCAGGTGATTTGGTTTCTTTTTCTGGAAAAAAAAGAAAAAAGCTGGCTACTAGTCTCCTCAGTGGCATATGGTGCAACTTACCTGATTAAATACATTATTTAAATGGGCATTTAGTTGTTCATGTTCTATTTGGAGGATTATTTTTACCCTCCCTGGTGGTTTCTCTGGTCACTTGCCACCCCCATGTAAAGCCGTTTGGCCATGTGCTGCCAATTACATAGATAACACCTTGTTTTATCATCATAAACAATAGATTCTTGGCTTATAGCTGTGGAATTGTTAAGTCTGAAAACCTGATTCCAAGGTATAGGCAGTCTTCAATTTAAAATCAGGTATTCCTAGAGATGTAAAACAAAACCTTAATTTTCATGGTTATTATCAAATCACTTTACATTTTGATAAAATGAAAGTGATTTTACTGTGCTCATACTTATGTGAAACAGTCCTGCCTTTCATAACTCTGACGTACATTGAGCAGCTTTTTGAGGAATCACAGACTTACCTTGACATATTTACATTCAGCTAACATTACCGTGCAAGTTTGGGTGTGAACTGCATTTGTGACACTGTTTCCAATCCAGGGAGATTACTCTGTACATAGTGTGTGTGATAGAAACTTCAGAAACAGGATCAGAATTTGCTTAGGACGGGAAAAAATTCACTCTGAATCCTTTTCCCTTCTCACAGTTATTCTAATAAATGCAAAAAGCTGTGGTTTAAAGTCTGCAGAAGAAAAAAAATCTAAAGGAACCAGCATAATTGCTCATTTCTGGTTTAATCCTGACTAACCATTTATGAATCAAAATAGACAAGGTGGGATGAGCATAACAAAAAAAGGTTGATGCAAACGTATAGATTTAAGGAAGTAATGACGCTCTTGCATTTGGATTTTTTTAAGTAGGTGGGGAGTGTAAGTATTAAACAGACTACTGATTGTAAACCACATTCATCCGAGAACTTGGGGAAAAGGTGGCTGTAATTCAGTTTTGCCAAATTTGAATGTACAAAGGAAGGCTCTTCTCATGTGAAAGACTACCTTCTGTTGGAATCTGCAGTGTCTCCACCTCTGAACATTGTTCTCTCCAGGTGTTAAATGTAGCCGGTATGGTGTCATTTAATCTGCTAATCCAGCTGCAGGTTGTCACTGTCAACACTTTACGCTTTTTGTTAGTAACGGTTCCGCATCCATTAGACCTTATCTCTGGACTTTCCGCATTCAAGACATTGATCTGGGAATGCTGTTTGGGTGAATCTGACCATCTCTTAGGAGACTTGAATCTTAAGTTTCTATAAATGAACAAACCAGTTTCTCTCTTGTTTGAAGCAATGCTGAAATTCCAAGAGGCTGCTAGGTGTGTGAGTCGATCAGCAGCTGTTTCCACTTACCCGGAGACCTTGATCGCGAGAAGATATGTGCTTCAACAAAAACTTGGCAGTGGAAGTTTTGGAACTGTCTATCTGGTTTCAGACAAGAAAGCGAAACAAGGAGAAGAACTGTAAGTAAAAGTACTTCATAAAAAAACCAAAAAACCCATTGTCATCAAGTTATTTCCAACTCATAGTGACCCTGTAGAACAGGGTAGAACTGCCCCATAGTGTTTCCAAGGAGCACCTGGTGGATTCGAACTGTTGATCTTTTGGTTAGCAGCCAAATGCTTAACCACTACACAACCAGGGTTTCCAAAAGGGCTTCATACACATCTTAAATTGGCCGCCCTCTATGTGCAGCTCTTCAATTAAGAACATGGAGTGCTGTCCACCTTGCTCTTTGCATTAAGCAAGAATTTAGTAAAAGATAGAAAAGCTCTTTGTTCGTCAGATAAGGTTTTAAAGGCATTTCAGCAGGTGAATAAAATATCCAAATGACCTAGAGAAGAAAACGAGGTGTATTATGTGAGAATAAATTTTTACGCATACCACAGTCTCAAATCCAACATTGCTTCCACTTAACTTGATTAGATCTCCTTGAACGGGAAGATGAGAACTGTTTATAATGACTGCATTTTTAGCAATGATATGAAATGCAAATAAATGTTAATGCACATGTGAGGTGAGTAGAGTGTACTGAAGCAAATATGGTGTTAGTTTTCTTTTGCTTTTTGTGGAAGCGTGGAGGAGATTTTCAAAGTCTGTAGTCAGCCCTCAAATTACATATTTAAACCAAACAGGGGCTCCCACTTAAAATTAACTTATGGTGATTATTCCCTTGTGACCTCTTTTCTTTTAACTTAGATAGGATTTTATAAACTTTCATAATAGAGAAAAACTCAATACTATTTGACAGTACATCTCCTACACATAAGAGTAAACCTTGAATTTTAGCTTAAAGTTTTTTGAATTTCCTACAGTGAAAAATTAGTTGGAATTGAAGTTAAACTTGGACAAGAGAAACAGAGGGCGTGCACTTACAAAGAATTATCTATATGAGCTTAATCTGACAGTAGTTAATCTGAAGCACAGATGAGAATTTTAAAGGGACAGAGAGCCTAAATCAATGATGATGAAACAGTGTGGGTAGAGATAGTGAGAATAGTAGCCCAATGTGAAGTGTGTAACCAGTGTTACTGAACTGTTCATGAAGAAGTTGTGAATGGATGCGTGTTTGGTTGTGTATATTGCCACCAAAAATAAACAAAATATTTTTTAAAAAAGAGAAGAAACATAGGAGGAAGAGAAAGAAGGAAGAATGACCCAAGAAATCAGCCGTTAACCCCAGAAGACCAAGTTTCCATCCCATAAACAGAATTTTAGGCTACTGTGAGTTCTTCCAGCTTTTGCCAATTGGATATTTAAGTACGAGTTCAAAATCAGTGTGGAAAATGTGTTTTTAGTTCTTCATGTCAGAGGAATTGTAAATGTAACTGATGCGGTTTTAAAAATCAACCTTTTAAATGGTCTCTGCGTCCAAAATTTTTTCAAGTTGTAATTAATTATCTGGAATTCATGGTTTTCAGTCAATTCCTAGGAGAAGAATGGTGAGAGGGCCGTTGCTTTGCTGGTGTCCTTAGGAAATGCATCATGAATCCTACTGAAAAGGATTTCCCCTTAAATCCTGAAGTTGCTCTTCCAGCCATTTAGAACAGCATGGTGCATTTCTGACGATTACAGAGAACCTTTAGGGAAATACTGAGAGTAAGACGTAAATCTGATCCAGGACTTGTAAAAACTGCACTGAAGAACTGTATCAGAGAGTTCACAGGAGGGCTAAAATGGTGGTAAGTATAAAGACCAAACTTGGAAGCTTCAGACTTGAGATGGTAGGTGAGTGTAGTGTGTGTTATGTGTTAGAAGAGAGAGATGGAGATTGAGAATGAGCACAAGAGAGAAGAGGGAGCTAGTGGTTGGGAAGTGATTTGTTGGTGATCCTTCATGCACCTGAATTAGTCTTACAACATGTGACTTGAACTGAAGATGGCAGATGAAGCCTAGGTGTGGGGAATGAGTCCAGCAGTGAGGACAACTGCCAAATCCTGTGGCACCAGAAGGTCTAGTCTAGAATTTCTTGGAAAGGAAGAATTCATCGTCAGAATCTCCAAAACAGTACAAACTGGCCATGTTCAGCCTTCAGATGTGTTTTGTTTGGCCTGCACAGTGTTTCTTTTTAATCTAAATTAGTTACCGGTATTCAAAAATGGGCAGCTCTCATAAATCTAAGATGTGTCTTTTGTAGGCAGCATATAGATGGATCGTGTTTTTTTTTTTTTTTTTAAATCCATTCTACCACTCTCTGTCTCTATTGGTGCATTTAGTCCATTTACATTCAGTGTAACTATTGATAAGTATGAGTTTAGTGCTGTCATTTTGATGTCTTTTTTTGTGTTGTTGACAGTTCCTTTGTTCCACTTAATTTTCTGTGCTGAGTCGTTTTTCTTTCTGTATTTTCTTTTCATCATTGTTGATTTTATATTTGCTTAGTCTTTATGTTTTTCTTGTTTTTTATTTTCATGTGTAGGATTGGTAGTTACTTCTGTGTTTACCTTAATATTTACCTCTATTTTTCTAAGTTTAAACCAATCTTTTATTTCTTTATATCGCCTTGACTTCCACTCCATGTGAAAGATCTATGACTACGTTATTTAGTCCTTTTTTGTTGTAACGTTGTCATCTTTTACATATTGACGTCTCTGTTTCCCTGTTTTCAGTGTTTTAGCTTTGATTTATTTTGGTGACTTCCCTATCTAGATTGATATCTGGTTGTTCTGTCTTGTGTTGTAGTCTTGGATTGTTATCTGATGTTACTGATTTTCTAACTGGAGGGCTCCCTTTAGTATTTCTTGTAATTTTGCTTTGGTTTTTACAAATTCCCTTAACTTCTATTTATCTGGAAATGCCCTCATTTCTCTATCATATTTGAGAGACAGTTTTGCTGCATATATAATTCTTGGCTGGCAGTTTTTTTCCTTCAAGGCTTTATATGTCATCCCATTGCCTTCTTGCCTGCATGATTTCTGCTGAGTAGTCTGAGCTTAGTCTTATTGACTTTCCTTTGTAGATGACTTTTCGTTTATCCCTAGTCGCTCTTAAAGTTCTCTCTTTATCTTTGGTTTTGGCAAGTTTGATTATAATATGTCTTGGTGACTTTCTTTTGAGATCTACCTTGTGTGGTGTTCGATGAGCTTCTTGGATAGATATCTTCTCATCTTTCATGATATCAGGGAAGCTTTCAGACAACAAATCTTCAACAATTCTCTGTATTTTCTCTTATCCCCACCCCGTTCTGGTACTCCAGTCATCATAGGTTATTTCTATGGATAGAATCCCACATAATTCTTAGGGTTTCTTCATTTTTAAAAAATTCTTTTATCTGATTTTTCTTCAAATAAGTTGGTGTCAAGTGCTTTATCTTCAGTTTCACTAATTCTGACTTTCATTGCCTCATTTCTGCTCCTATGACTTTCTATTGAGTTGTCTAATTCTGAAATTTTATTGTTAATCTTCTGGATTTCTGTTTGCTGTCTCTTTATGGATTCTTACAGCCTGTTAATTTGTGATTATGCTCTTGTATATCCTTCTTAAGTTCCTCTATTGCTTTGCCTGTGTGTTCCTTGGTTTTTTCTGCATTTTGACCGATTTCCTTCCTGATATCTTAAAGAGTTCTATGTATTAATCTTTTGTATTCTACCTCCAGTAATTCCAAGAAATTCTCTTCCTCCGGAAGGTTTCTTGATTCTTTGTTTTGTTGGCTTCCGGAAGCCATCATGATCTGCCTCTTTATGTGATTTGATACTGACTGTTGTCGCTGAGCCATCAATAAGTTATATTTATTTTTTGTTTGCTTACTGTGTCCTAGCTTCTTGTTTTGTTTTGTTTTGATATGCCCAAATATGCTAGTCATGTGAGCTGGTTTGATTATTGGCGTCTTTGAAACTCTCACATCCTGTTTCCAGGTGGCTAGAACTGTTACTAGGTATGTGAGGTCAGGAATCCATTTACTTTTCTTGAGTGGATTAAGCTCAGGTGTCCAGGTTGTTGATCACTGAGTGTGTCGTGCAGGCTCTCACCTACAGTCCTAGACAGGCAGGGGTGGTTGGACTAGGCACAGGCATCTGGCTGCAGCAGGGGGACACACTCTGAGCAAGGCAGGGGGCTGATGGCCACCCCCAAGTATCTAGGAGGAAGGTGTGTCCCTGTTCCTTAGAGCGTGTAGGTAGGTGGGTTTTGCACCTGGGCTATGGGCACCCAGTGCTGTTGGCTGTAAGGACTGGTAGTCACCACTTATTCTTGGACCCCTGTCACAGGTGGCTCGGTGGAGTGGGTGGAGCCAGCAGTCCTCAGGCCCCTGATGTGAGTAGGTGAGGATCTTCCTTAGTGGGTAGGGCAGTGTCAAAAGTCACGAATCTGCCACTCTCCCTTATAGCTGATACAGATGAAAATAGGCTTCAGGTATATACCCTGTTGTACTGTGGTAATGAGGGCCGTAGCTGTTGAAATGGACCCATGCAGATCTATGCAGGGTAAAAGGCATTCAAAGTCCGTGGACCCCTTAGGTCTGTGCCTAGGCAAAGGGGCTGTGCCTGCCCTGAGTTTCTGGCTTAGGGGAGCTGGCAGACTATTTTTTTCTGTTTGTTAATTTGTTCCCTTTCCAGAGCTGGGAGAATGGCTTCAGGGTGTGCATTGGGTCCTACTTCTGGCCCAGGGGGCTCGGCAATCCCTGAAGCCAGACCAGGACTGGAGGAGACCTGGGAGGGGGCAGGCAAATGGTGGAGAGGTACTTCCCAAAAAGGTGTTTTTCTTTTGATCCACACGGTAGGTCATATGCTTGTACTTATTTTTCACCGACTGAGCACCGTTTCTCACTGGTTCTGGAAGCTCGAGCAGACTCTCTGCTACTTGGCCTCTCCTGATGTGGAAAACACATCCCGAGTGCCACTGCTTGCCTCACCCCTCATGTGCCAGCTGATCCCGCCTGCAAGGTGCCAGGGCCGGCCAGGTCAGGTCTGGTAACTTCTCACTGCTTCTGAACCGTCTCTCCCTCCCCTGCCACTAAGTCCAGTTC